TTTTTAAGAACACAGTCTTCCAAAACCTTGATGTCTAACAAATAACCTTGATAAAAGAAGAAAAAGCTTAAATCTGGCATCATTATAAAATCATATAAAACATTCAATTAATAGAAATAGAATTTACCATGCTTGAGAAGTCGCGTGATTTTTCTGTGAATATTGCCTTTACTTCCAACTTTACTAAAAGCTCCCAAATCAATCCCACCAGGTTGAAAGATTTTCTAATATTCATTAAATAAACTTTGTTAACAAACTGTTTAATAATGCATTTATTATTAATTTTACTATGCGCAAGAAATTTTCTTACTGGTAATTCCTCATCAGTATGAACGCACACAAGAGCAGCTATAAAAGCACCAACTGCAGTACCACATATGACCCTTGGTAATAATCCATTTTCATGAAGTGCTTTCACAACTCCAAGATGATAAAGCCCTATAGATCGATATTTAAAATCACTTTACAATATTCGAGAAAGAAGATTCAAAAATACTTAAGTAGTCATGATATTACCAAAAGCTGCTCCACCGTAAAGGACTAAAGCAGAACAACCAAAACTTTGACGAGTATCATGAAAGAAATCGGGCTTAGAAGTATGGGAAACATCTGAAAAATCTGACTGATTAATATTTTCAAGTTGAGTTGCAACCTCTTCCGTATAATCTTCAATCAACTTCTTTGTTCTATAAAAATTTTTTAGAATAAATATCTGAATATATAAATTGAAAAATCAAATGTTTACTCAGACTTACCCTAAATATGATTGACTGAACAACCGAGGATCATTCAAACCTCCAAAGTTGCGCAAAAGGCCTAAAATTCATGAATGTAATCTCATGAAAATTTGATCAAGCATTTAATTAAAATGTTTTTAAATATGAAATAATTTACGAACCTGCTCTCAACATATAGATCATTGTTGAAATATCATTCTTTTCCCTAATTTGTTTAAGGTGACCTAATCGGCTCTGAATAAGGTTATAATCATAATATGGAGATGCTGGATCCAATTTCCATTTATCATTATCTAATAAAAGTATTATTTATCAAGAATGTATACTTTAACATTGATGAATAGTTTTTTTTAAGTTCACTCTATTAAATATATACCTAAGAGACTTGTATAACGACAGATAAAAATTATAATCAATATACATTGTGTATATACATTTTTTACATAAAAGCAAATGGATGTATCATTTTGTACTTACACATCCAATTCTCGTGCCTTTTCAACCCA